ATGCATTATTTGTATGTTTTGTTGATTAAGAAAGAGATAATATATAAAATTAAAAGTGAAAAGGAAGGAAAATCTTAATTTACATGTTAATTATTTAAATAAAGAAGCATTCAAAAGTGTTATATACAAATTTTTTTTTATCATTTGTGAGAATTATTAATTTCAAAATTCTATTTGCCTTTTCTATTTGTGATTAATTAAAACCCATTATAGTTTTACACATGATTTCAAAATTTTGTTATAAAATGATGTGATTTTCTTTATAGATTTTTTTTATATAAATCTTAATAATAAAATTTGGGAATTTTATTTATACTTTAAATTAATATTATGACACATATTTTGCTTTGTAGTAATTATTTTATTGTGCGACATTGGTTTCTTTTTCCATCATGCATAAAGGAAATATTGAAATTATGCACTGATTTTTCCTGCTTACATATGTTTTTAATAATAAAAAAAAAGATAGAAAAGGAGAGTTTCAATTATGAAATTGAATGTTCCATTATGCATAGATAAAAGTAAATAAATAAAGAGCTAGTAGAAAATATTATATATCATATATGTGAGAGATGTGACATGATATTTTAGTGCTATGTATAATTAATAATAAATATATAAAAATATATATTTGTTTGAAATTAAGTGTATGATAAATTTTGGTAATAACTAAAATATCAAATTTTAAAATAATAATTATTATTATTATCAATTTTTCGTAAAATAAAATATATTAAATTATATGTATTTATTGATTTATGGGTTATTTAAATTTATTATTATAAAATATTTATAGATTGATCAAAGATTGATTAGTTGTTCTTATAATTAATTAATATAGTTTAATATAGTTTGGACAGTTTGCATCATTGATTTTATTTATATACTCAAATAATAGATGATTTTAATTCATAAATAGTTATATTGATATTATTATGTTAATTTTTTTATGTATCACCCAAGAGAAACCATCGATATATTATAGGTATAATATTTATTTTATGACTTAATATTTATGTGAAATTTTGCTAAGCAATATTGATTTTCAACCTAATTATAATTCTCGTTGTATCAATTTATAATGGTCTTAATTTTTCTAATTATAATTAGCAACTCCAACTCCAATTTCATCTTTGTGTCATGAATCTTAATCTTATTATTATTAACTCTAATATTAGTGAATATATTCAATTACAAGTAACTGTATGTTTTAATGACAAACATGGGTCAAGTAATTCATATGCATTTGAGAGTGCAACATGTTTGCTTCTTATTTATTTATCTTTTTAACCTCTTCAAAAAAAAAACTTTATATTTTACTTCAATCTCTTGTGATATTGAAGTATTTATTACTAAAATTCTTAATTAATAAAACAAAATCACCTAAAGAAACATAAATCTTACGGAAATTTTGATATTTTATAATGTTATATTTCTCTTGATTTTTTGTCGGATTAAAAATATTTTTTTATCTGATTAAAAAATGCTAACATTTCAAATAAATAAATAAATATATATATTGAGCAGTGAAAGATAATAAGATTAAATTCATCAACTAAATTTTTCTCAATAAATGATATTTATAATATCATTGCTTGTGTAAATTTGTTAAATAATATAAAACTATTAAATTAATAGTACAATATTTATTGTGTATAATTATTGCTGTTATTACAATAAAACTTATTATTATATTCTATAGTATTAAATTCAATATTTTTCATAATTTTTTTTAATTTAATTTTCTAAAGACAGAAATTAATTTAATTATGAAATTTTTAAAGTTGTTATTAATAATAAAAAATTATGTTAATAATTTTCGTCAAAAAGATTCCTCTTAAAAGAGAAAGAAATTTTCTTTTTTTCTTTCTTGATTTCACATAACTACATGTGAAAAGTTTATATCGTTAATTCTTTTTAATTGTAACATAAGTAATGTTATTATCCTAAACTTAGGGATAACAACATCTATCATGCAAACACTCTTAGCATTAATTGTCCAATAATCTTAGTCTAACTAAATTAATGCAAACTAAGTATATTACTATGACATATGAACATTGTGACAGTAATCAAAGTGAATATATTAAAAACAAAAGTAAGGTAGTCTAATTAAGGAAACAATTTAACAGTTTGTGTTTTTCCTTAGAAAAAGTTTATAAATATTAATAATTAGTTTATTCTTTTTAAGGACCCTAAACCTATACTTTAAGGATTCTACCAATTTCAATAATATAAAAAAAATAAAAATTAGTCTACGCTTTTTAACCTTTTAATCTAACATGCAAGAAACACATGTTGTACTGTATATGTATTTTTTTAATACTAACATACCCGTGTTTTGTGTCAAAATAAATTTATCTTAAATTTAAACAAATATGGTTTATAAATTCTTTTTAGTAGGATTAACAATCTTTAAGATTTTCAATTTAGAAGATGGTTTAACCCTTACAAACTTAATTACATAAAATTCTTTATTTAAATTCATTATATTGCCGTTTATATTAATAAAAATGAGATTAAACATATAAACAAAAAAACTTACATTTTTAGTATGTTTGTATAAATAGATAATTTAGATAAAGTTGCATAAATGTTATATGATGCAACTTATATGTTTTTATAAATAGATAATTTTTCATAAATGTTACACGGTAAAGTAATTTCTCCTTGATTTTTATAAAACCTTAATGGATTATGTTTCGTTGTCAATTTTTTTTTATTTCTTTATTTTCATATATGACTTTTTAATAAAATTATTTCTGTATTTAATAATTTATTGTACAAAATTGTATTTTTTTTTAATAATAATCAACCATTCATTCTTTTAGTCATCTTAATCATCAATCCTTTCATAATTTTTTTTTTCTATCTTGATACATTTTCTATCATTTTTACTTCATTAACACAAAAATACACAATATCAACGGAATAAATAATAACACCAAGGTAACATAATAAAAAATATTGAAGAAAAATAACTCAGGAATCTTAAAAAAGAAAAAGTGATGTACTAATTACTAATACCATTATACTTCTATAACCATGTACAATGAGATATTTTTTATTTTTTTTTATCATAGAAAATAGAAAAATAAAAATATCATAATTAAAAAAATATATAAATAAAATATATAATACATAATTCATAATTCATATTTAAAAAGTGGAAAAAAATATAAAATAAAAATTAAAAAATATTAAAAAAATAATTACATATACCTAATAAATTACTAGAAATATAGATTAAAACAAGTATCCAATGAAGGCGTGAAGCAGAACTTTACATGAGCATGCGAATAAAAACAAATGGATTTGTTTTTTCAAAAAAGAAAACTATTTTTTAATATTTGTCTCCTTTTTCGAGGAACCAAACAAAAAAAACGACAATAAACAATGAACGAGAACCTGCATTTTCCTCCAACTTGGCCATGTTGGGTTGCCATGCCACAATTTTCATTTGAATTTATCGAACCAAAGATGAAGAAGACAAACATTTTTTTCTTCTAGCCCAAAAATTTTTTTTTTTTTTAAATGATAAAAAGTAGAGCAAATGTTAGGTTCATAGTGAATTTCATTGTGCAACTTTTAAAACAATTCCTCACTTGAGGACCCAATTAATATAGTAAAATTATTAATTTTGTAGAGAAACAAAAAGTTCCGTGATAAATATTTATCTTAAATACATTTCATAATTGCAACTATTTTTTTTTTAATTTAAAAAATATCTCTTGTTTACACCTATATTTTTCCTTCTTTTGTAAATTATTATTATAAAGAAAATAATGAATAAAGTTCCCAAATGTGGCAGGTTCTATCACTTTTGTTATTGAATTGTTTATATTCAGCCAATGAGACATTATCTAAGAAAATAGTTAGTTTTTTTTTTTTTTAAGTTTTCTTTAAAGTTGAATTGAGTGATGCATTAATTATTGTTTTCCTAAAATTAATTACATGTACTTTTTTTTCTTTAGAATATAAGTAGAGATATATAAACAGTTGAAAAATTGTTTTTTTTTTAATCTTTCATTGTAGTTTATTTATATGGTCCATTTGATCTTTCAAATTTAAAATTATTTCTTTGACAAAATATAGGTTTTTAATTTTTTTTCCTTTTTAGAACAACAAGCATAATAAAGATAAAAATTATATTGTTTTAATGTAAGTTATTTAAAAAGTTTTTATAGTTTCTTCCATTAAAATTGAACTTAGATTGCTTAATAAGGATGTAATACATATCATAAATTACACATTTTTAACTTAGAAAGCAACTCATCTATAAAACAATGTATGTGAATTGTTTCTATTAAAAACATTCTAAAATCTCTTAATTACTTTGGTTTATCTTTAAATATGTAAGGATAATTTTGAAATAAATTTATTGTTTTTTTGGTGAGAATTAGTTAAAAAATATTGTAAATAGGTAATGAAGTATACTGTATAAGTGTTTCTTCACTTTTATGATGATTATCAATGACTAATAAATATACATTTATTAAAAACTAATAAATATGTTACTTTTTGAAATAAGTTTTATTGAAACTGAGAACATTAATTAATTTGAATTATCTTATATAACTAAAACTGAGTGAGTGGAAATCAAAAGATAATATTTATGATGGTATTTTGAATAAAAAAAGAAAATTCTTATCTCTTTTACCTAAATATCATATTTTATATATTTTTATTATACAAAAGTTATACAAATTAAAACCATAACAAAAAAATTACGTGTAATAACGCTCTAGCAAAGCGCGTGATTATAATTCTAGGTTTGTTCACCTATTAATTCTGAACGGTCAATACTCCTGCGTCTGCGTGCATGCAAGATCCTCACACTCACTGAGTCGCACAGTCGCACCACCCGTTCTCTCTCTGCGTTTACGCATTCTCGTCTCTCATCAAGATTATCAAAGAAAACGCCGTCGTTCGAGGAAGGGTTTACTCGCCACCTTTTCGATCTTCAGTTCTTCACCGCTTTCTCGTTCTTCGATTCACCAATGGCTGTTCAACTGACTGTCGCTGCCGCGCCGGCTTCGCTTTACGTCGGAGACCTTCACCCTGACATCTCCGACACCCAACTCTTCCAGGCTTTCTCGGAATTCGAAAGCCTCACTTCTGTTCGCGTCTGCAGAGACTCCATGACGAGGACGTCGCTCCGTTACGGTTATGTCAACTTCATGTCTCAGGAAGATGGTATCTCTCTCACACTCTCTCTGAGATTTACATATAGTACATTCACCATTAACGATTTCTTAGATAAATCGCATTGCTGCGTTTTCTTTGTCGTTTCATCGATTATTCGTGTGCTTTCTTTGCATGTTGAGAGAGAGTTTTCGTTTTAATTTATCTTTACACTAACATGTCTTGGTAGTTTGAATTGGTGTTTTGTTTTTTAGGTTTTCAAGCGAGGGATCTTGGAAATTGTTTGATATATGGACTTTATTTATCGATTGCAATAACGTGGCAAAGGAATGATGTACAAAGCTATATTGCTAAGAGATAGTGTTTTGTTTTCTAGGGTTGTTCATTTCTTGGTGCGTAGTTTGATGTTTGAGATTTTTCCTTCAGAAGTTTTTTTGATATTATTATTGGTTTTGTAAGAAAAGCTAATCTTGGAAGACTATTGCGAGTTTAGCGTGTTGGAATGGAGGTAAAAAATATTTTTTAGAAAGTGGTCCGCGCATGCAATTTTGATCGCAGCGTCTAAAGGTTTTCGGGTTATGGCTGCATAGCTACTGCAAATGTGGTTATTTATCTGCAATTTCCTGCAATGTAAAGGATTCCAGTGAGACTGGCTTCTGTGATTTTTATTTTTTTTTATAATTTTTTTTTTATCTTTTATATATATTTATGGTGAAAATTTGCATAGAATGCAGACAATAAACACTTAAAATAAGATTTGATAAATTCTGGTGGTGAAGTGGTGATTGGTCTGTGTGGTTGCATAGCATTTTTTTTCAGTTTTAATGGTATTCTCTCCGATTTCAATGTACCTAGTTGTTGCAAAGATCATATACACATACACTAGTTTAACTAAGTTGTGGTACCTTGTGTTTTAAAAGACATGTTTTAAGAAGATTTTAAATTTGTGGAAGTGTTTTTGGTTGCAGGTTATGTTTTTTGCTCAAACATTTCAGACCAGGTTGTGTCACTGTTACAGTGTGTGGCTTGAAATTTGTAATTGTAATTTTTTATTAACTGGAAGATTTTCTCTTTTTGAAAAAAATTATAGCATATTGAGCATCTTTAAGACAAGATGCTTATTAACTCAATTTCCTAAATTTGTTTGTCCACGTAGAAACAATGGAGCTTACCCCAATTTCAGTTTTTTCGTTCTAGTTGTACTTTCTCAGGAGAATAAAGAATATGCTTTCTGGGGTTATTGTTGCTCTTAGCGTGTTTATACCTGTTGATGTAGTCTGATCCCACTCACCTTGATATGTTTCTTGTGTAGCAATTCGTGCAATCAAGTTGAAAAACAATTCTTATCTCTTTGGAAAAGTTATAAGGGTCATGTGGTCACATCGTGATCCTAATGCAAGGAAAAGTGGTAAAGGGAATGTGTTTGTTAAGGTATATCTACAGCTTTGTTATGAAATAGTCAAATAATTCATTATCACTTGAAGTGAATTCTAACGGAAAGTTTTTGGTGTTCAATACCTTGGCAGAACTTACCTGAATCCATAGATAATGCGGGGTTACATGATTTATTTCAAAAATATGGGAATATTTTGTCCACCAAAGTTTGCGTGTATGACGATGGGAAGAGCAGAGGGTATGGCTTTGTTCAATTTGAGTCAGAGGAATCTGCAAATAATGCCATTGAGAAGCTGAATGGCTATATTGTGAGAGACAAGCAGATGTATGTGAAACTTTCCATTATTTCAGGGAAAATGCTAGTTAAGGAATCAAAAGTGGAAACTCTACAAAAAATGTTATTGATACACCACTATGATTTGCATTGTATTTTTCAATGAACTTTTCACTCTTGATTCCCTAACCAGTGTCCTATGCAAGACCTAAAGTTAAAGGTTTATCCACGTACTATTATGTTAAAATCTTTTGCCTTTTGTGCCTTCATTTAATTACTGCATTCACTTTTTGCATACATTATTTAACTAGGATAAATATTAATCTGATTTTAATTTTCTAGATATGTTGGGGACTTTATCCGAAAAGGTGATCGTGTTTTGCCCGGTAATGATGCCAAATATACAAATTTGTACATCAAAAATTTGGACTCGGATATTACGGAAGCACTTCTTCAGGAAAAGTTCTCCCCTTTTGGAAAAATTATTAGTTTGGCTATTGCAAAGGATGACAATGGGCTATCCAAGGGTTTTGCATTTGTTAACTATGATAATCCAGATGATGCTAGAAAGGCCATAAAAGCAATGAACGGATTACAATTTGGTAGTTTATTTACCCTTTTAATGTACAGGTGGTGTTTATTCACAAAATTGCCTTTTATATATATACTGATTCATATTTGCCTTTTGATTTGTCATATTTAGGTTCAAAGAATCTGTATGTAGCTAGGGCACAGAAGAAGGCTGAACGTGAGAAAATCTTGCAACATCAATTTGAGGAAAAACGCAAGGAACAAATGTTGAAGTCAAAAGTAATTCCATGCCATTTCTCTCACCTTTACCATCTCAATTCATTTTTCTGAGAATGTCTTCATTTTCCTTACAGGGTTCTAATCTTTATGTGAAGAACATTGATGACAGTGTTAGTGAAAAAGAACTAAGAGATCTGTTTAGTTCATGTGGCACAATAACTTCAGTAAAAGTTATGCGAAATGACAAAGGGATAAGCAAGGGGTTTGGTTTTGTCTGCTTCTCCAACCCTGAGGAGGCTAATAAAGCTGTTAGCACTTTTTATGGTGAGTTTTGCTGATGTAATCTTGTAAATAGGGATTCGAATGCGACCATGTTCTGTATCTAGATTTGTATTAATACCATGAAACAGAGTACAGGTGCTTGCTACAACATTTCAATAATAGAACACAAGACTTGTATGTTACATTTATAGGATTACAAACTTTTTTACTTTGTCTGGGGGACTGAAAGATATAATTTATACGTTCTTCTTTCTTCTCTTGAACAAATTATAATTAAAGTTCTGATCTTGAGAATTTACATCCCTGTTACTTTAATGATTTTAGAACAATTATTCCATTTAAGACCACTATGTCTGCATTGCTTTTGTTACGTTGTTTATGTTTTTATTTACGTTGCTGCTACATGCCGCAGGATGCATGTTCCACCGTAAACCACTGTATATTGCTATCGCTCAGAGGAAAGAGGATAGGAAAACGCAGTTGAAGCTCCACTATTCACCGCAACAAGCAGCATTGGATGGACCTTCAACTGCAGTTATTCCTACTGGATTTCCACCTTTCTTCTATCCTAATGTCACTTCGCAGATGCTTCAATCTGGGCTTTTGTATCAACCTCTTGGATTGGGATCAGGATGGAGGGCTAATGAATTTGCGCCTCCCACTAGATCATTTCAACAATCCCAGGTTCCTATTGTGAGTGTCGAATTTACACAAAAACCTTCAAAAAATAAAATAAATGTTTCTTTTTTTCACATTTTTATGATTATTTTATATTTATTTTTGGGAAAATTTGGACCCTTCAAAATAAGTAGCTGTATCATTAGACAGAATCTAACTTTTATTCCTTGATGCAAAATGTTGTCAAACTGATCTGGTTTAGTTGTAAAAATCTTCCCTGTGGGACAAAATAATCTGATTTGATACTGAGTTTTAGACATGAAAGTTTTTATTTTACTTTTCCCATCTTCAGGTTCCTAACTCTACTAGGAATCATAGGCAAAATAGGGGCAGGATGAACGGGTATATGAATTCAGTGGGAAAAGCTCAGTCTGGTGTGTATATCCCGCATCTGCAACACTATTATCAGCCAATGGACTCTTCAATAATCGAGCACTTTACAGGTTTGCTTCTCCATCTTCCCCCATCTACACTTTTGCCCATTTTAGTTACGTTTTTGAATTCTTAATTGCAATGATTTATGTCATCTTGTACAGCCTAGCCTAGCAGCGAAGATTCCAGGAATGCTTTTGGGGACGAACAATGAAGAATTGACGCATTTCCTGGAATCAAGAGACACTTCCTGCGTAGGTGGTAGTGCAAGTGGTGTGTTTTTGTGCCCTGTTTGGAGCTTAGATCATGACGTGGTAGAAGCTTCCAAAAACTGGAAAATAAACAAATAAACGGGAAGGAGAACAACTCTGCATTCTTTCGCTTAGTATTGATAATGAATAATTGAAGGTATCGTTCGGCGTAGACTTTGTTGGATTTCGATTACATGGACAAACTTCGATTCCTGCATGGATTTTCATTTTACCTTTTTTGTCGAAAATAATGTCTTTGATACAATTCTGATTGTTTCCTATGAGAACGGTCGGAAGGGGATATCTTATTTGGTTGTTTGAGAGAGGTTTTAATAAATTTAGAGGTTAAATATATTTTCTGTCATGTATTTTTGCTGAAATTTATTTTCTTCCTTATATTTCAAATTTTAATAAACTAATTTAATTTTATAACTACAAAAAATATTATTAAATATCAAATTTAGATTTAAATAATTATTAAAATTATATTTAGTTCTTAAGATCAACAATTATAATTAAATGTTAAACTTAGATACTCAAAAGGATTATAATTTGAAACTAGAAGAATTAAAGATAAATTTTTTAAAAAATCAAAATCATACTTTTTCCATTAATAATTTTTTTCACATTCCTAATTGTAGATAAATAAGCCTGTTAGATTTTGGTTAACAAAATTTTGAAGCTTGCTCTTTCTAAATCATACAATTTCATCATTTTATTGACACAAAATACACATAATCCTTAACATTCATTCACATAAAATAGAAGTCAAACAATTTTATTTAATAATCAAAATTAACACATGCTATAACATTCCAATGGATTATTGAAAATGAGTTAAGATTTTTTTCTTTTTTGCAAATTTTACTTAGCAAAATTGAAAATGGCTAAGTTAATTTAAAATAATTGAGTAAATTTTAAATGACCAATTAGTTTAAAACAGCAATGTTTTACAAATATCATGTAATTGCTATTTTATTTTTACTTATTGATAGAATAAATATTATAAAATTCTTATTCTAAGAATAAAGGATGCTCTCACAACAACAACAAAAAACAATTAATTTGATCAATATTTGAATTGTTAGTTATAAACTTAAAAAAAAAATACTATTTATATGAAATCTAGACACATATAAGATATCATGAAGAAGAAAATATTCAATTTAATTATATTGAATTATTATTTGAAAAGATAAACACTTATAAACCAAATTCAGTAACTCTATTAAACATTTACTTCCTACTAACATAGTATAGTGACTCATTAATCATTATAACAACTTAGGAATTAGAAACTAATTTAAGAAATATGAAATGTCATCTGAAACTTATTTTCACAAAATTAAAAAAGAAAATTACATTAAAAAAATAAACATGAGTTTTTAAATAACTATTTAGCCCAACATTAGTTAAAGTCGATCCTATAATGCTTATGTGCTTTTTGAGTATGGAGGATGATAGATCCAAATCTTTCTCTATTTGTAAAAAGTTGGTGAATTATAGATTGATTAATTGGATCTTTACAAGAAATAAAAGCATTACTTAAATTCCTAAAAAGTTAAGATAAAATCGAAAAGAAAAGAGAGCCCACAGACTTTTTATAAAATTAAAAATGAATTTAGTTCAACTAAAATTGTGAAACAAGGATACAAGACTCTTTTAAGTATAAAAAACAAAATCTTGAATTCATCCCATAAGCTAATTTTCCATCTCTAATATCAATACAATGCCTAATCTATAATGCTTAAATGCTTTTCTTGCCTTTCACTTTTGAAAAAAAAATTAAATATTGTAAAATTACTACTGAGCATAAAATATATCTAAATAATCATAATTTAAGATTTAAAAAATTACATAGTAATAAATAATTACTATTTTATCAGAAAACAATAAAATTTTATTCTCTACTAAAAACATAAATTAATCTTCAAAACAATGTTTTCTTTAAACTGTAGTTTGAAATAAAAAAAATTAATATTGACCCATTCTTTTAGAAAAAAAATAGATTTCATTTATTTTTAAACATTTAAAAATATTAAATTTAAACATTAAGTCTTTACTTAATGTATCAAATGAGATAAATTGAAAGAATTTCTACATTAATATATTAAATTAATTAATAATTATAACTTAATTATAATATTGTTACATATTTTTATATTTTAGATAACAATTATAATCTTTTACATTATAATTTATTTTGAAAAATTATCAATGAATTATTAATTTTGAAGAATTAAATAACATATTATTAATATATATATATATATATATATATATATATATATATATATATATATATATATATATATATATGGAGCAACCTTCACCCTCCACCTACCAAGAAGCTATGGTGGTGTTTGGGAAAATCAATAAGGTAAAAAACCAATAAGTTAAACATCAATTTCATTATCCAAATTATCCTATTAAAAAACATGATATACACTTTTATTTATATATATATATAAAGAAAAAATTATCTTATTTTAAAAATAAAAAATAAAAGATTATTTTTTATCTTTACTATTCATTTTTTTTATAATATAATAGTTAAAATAAGTTATTATTTTAGATTATTAAATCAAATATAATAAGAATATAAAATATTTTTATTATTACATTTTTTAGTTAACTTTTTTTTCTCTCCCCGTATCAATCTATAAATTTATATTCTATTTGTTTAATTTCTTTCTTTAACTTTCTCTCCTAACATACAAACCATGGAAGGTGAGGCAAAAATAGGCAAAAATAGATGCAGTGTAGGCGCAAGTGAATTATAAAGATGGTAAAAAAAGATCTTATTTTTTAATAAATAATAAATAATTTTGAGTTAAAAATGAATAACATAAAAAAATAATGTGTTGTTCAATTGTTTTTATATAAGTTTGAACAAAGAGATTCGGTGTGTTATTGATTTAAGATACTACTAAAAAATATTGCAGTGTCAAATATGAATACTGAAAGATGTATAATTTCATGTTAAAAATGTTATTCACTCTTAATTTTAAATTGTAAATTAATTTTTTCTATCAACATCCATTAGAAATAATAATGAACTTTGAAAATATCACCAACTATCTATCTTTATTTATTTTGAAACTCCTAAATTAAAGATTTCCTAACAATGCATGAATACGTTTTTTTTTTAATATATATATATATATATATATATTTTTTTTTTACCTGGACCAATAATAATTTTGAACTATGAAGAAATAAACCATATTTAAGAAAAAATTTATAATATATATCTTCATGACTTGAACAAGATTCACCATTATATTTCAATGACTTCGAAATGGAGTGAAAATGATTTAGAAATATCGCCTTAACAAATATTAAAAAATATTATAATTAAAAATATTATATTTTTTTTATCATATTAAAATATATAAATATATTATAATATTATATAATGAAATGAATTGATATTTTATTCTGTGTGAGAGAAGGAGAGTGAGTAGATGAATGAGAAATGTGTGGAAAGGGGTAATAAATTTATGCAATAAAGCTTTTGTATTTTTTAATTGAGAATAATTATGTTTTGAAAGTAATTTTTTTAATTTTTTATAATGACACGTGTAAAAATTTATTTTTTAAATTACCTTTATTTAAATATAGTATAGATTTGTTCTTTTTTTCATCTCTATTACTAAATCTGAATACCTGCAAATCCTTATTTTGGGATTGGTTCATCTGGAAATATTCCTGATAACACGGATAGTTGTGTCAGCAGCAATTTTAATGATGTCAAATGCCTTACCAAAAGATCACATTTTACCCTTGTGCTCTATCTATCTGTATTATTCGTGCCTGTTCACAATTACTTTCTTCTTTTCTTTACTTTTCCCTCTGGTTCCTGTTGCACCATTGTCTCTAGAAATTTCTAACCTAAGAGGTGAAGGAGAAGCTTTTGAAACCAGTTGTTAATGGAGGAGAAAGAAATGATATTTTTATTATTTTGGGGTGTAGAAAGAAATTAGGGGTTGTGAGCATATTTTGGAATAATGCACTTTGCTCAGTTACCAGAGTGCTAATTTGGCTATGGTTTACGCATTTTCTTTTTATTACTATTGAAAAATTAGTTTGATTATTTCTGTGATGATAATCTGAATTCCATACCCTAACATCACACAGAAATATCATCACTGTCCTCAAGTAATTGTTTTGCTCAGCATAATAACCTGTGCAGAATAGAAAAGACTTGAATTGACTAGAATGGGTAGAAAGAGTAAGAAAGAGAGAAGAAGAAGAAGATCCCATGATTCTTCATCAGAGTCGCCTTCATCACAGTCCGATGATGATTCGGACAGCCGTAATTCGTCGTCTCCGGAGAGACGCCGGAGAGACGATCATCGCAGCCACCGTTGTTTGCGGCGGGGACGGAGCAGGCACGGCTCGGATAGTTCCTCTGATGAGAGTAGTGACCGGGGTGGCAAGAAGAAGAAGTCCTCCAGGCACATTACTGAAGAGGAAATAGCACAGTACTTGGCCAAAAAGGCTCAGAGAAAGGTTTGTACTTGCTTTTTTATCCTTGTTCTATATCATTGTTTGGTGTTTTTATGTTTTATGATTTGAGTTATAGTGTGTGTATATGTGTTTTGACGTTTCATTCTTCTTGGTTTTGTGCTCAGGCATTGAAAGTTGCCAAGAAACTAAAGACTCATACAGTGTCAGGGTATTCGAATGATGCAAATCCATTTGGTGACTCTAATCTTAATGAGAAGTAAGTTCCTACCTTTTCCCGTTCTCCCTACTCTTTATTTCTGTCTTGTGTTTGTATTTTGATTTGTTCTATCTATAACTAGACTTTTTTGTGCTGTTTACCATAAGAGATGAATTTGTGTTCGTGTTTGTACTGTCTGGAGTTATTTTATTTTTATGGAGAGGTGATTGCGAGGGAGTTCTGTAGTTAAAATTTTGGTATAGGTGATAGTATAAAAAGTAAGAAACTTCTGCGAAACCAGTCAGCAATTTTTGGGTTGTTGGTTGAGGTTCTTACATGATTCTGCTTCCAATTTAGTTTAAAATGTCAGTTTGATTAGTAACATAATTATTTGGAAAACTTTGTGGCAATTGTATTGTTAGTGTTTCAGGAGAATGCTTGTCTGATTTACATTTACTTATTCTAAATTCTATAATAAATTGGAGGATGGTGTTTGGTTGTTTGAATAATTCATTAACATCACAGAATCATTTCTTCTCCTTCCCTCTGTCCTCACTGGTTTTTTTGCCATTTTCAATCTTCTGGGATACTAGTCACAAGTGCTCAAGTTACTAAGGTTTCACCGCAGATAAATTGGAGAGTAGTATGAATCAAAGCTGCTAGTTTATTATTATTTATTATATTCGTTTATCATCCAAAATTATTCTAGAAATGCTATTGGTTTCTGTTGGACAACTTCGTGTGGAGTTTTATTTCACAAGAAAAACAATTAAATACCTTGAAATGAATTTTGACATTTTAACCAACTGTCAATACTATTTGCTATGTTACATGTTGTAAAACTTGAGCTTTTATTGGGGGTGGGGGATGGGGAGTTGTATACATTAGCTGTTGTTCTTATATAACTTTGATATATCCACTTTTCTTGTTTATTTTGTTTGCCTTATTTGGTTCTGCTTAGCTTAGAAATTTATTGTCATTTTTATGCCCTAGAAGCTTAGCATAACTGCTTTACTAGAAATTAATATATTAGTAGTTGAGTGATACCTACCTATGCCTTATTATTCTCAAAATTAATGTGTTGTAGGTTTGTTTGGCGGAAGAAGATTGAGCGTGATGTTGTTCAAGGTGTGCCTATTGATGCATTTTCAGTTAAAGCTGAAAAAAAGAGATTGAGAGAACGGATGGTATGCATTTTTCTGCAAAAACAAAAAAAGAGATGTTTACTATTTTGTAGGCCATACTGAATAAACATCTGCTATAGCTACCTGCTATTTTGTAGGCCATTGTCTCTGTCTGCCATTTATTAACTAAGTTCTTGTTCAAAATCATAATGCAGGCAGAAATAGAAAAGGTGAAAAAAAGAAGAGAAGAAAGGGCACTTGAGAAAGCACGACATGAAGAAGAAATGGTAAGTTCATTCTCATACTTTGTTATTTGTAATTAATTATCATTTTAATCTATTGGAGGTAAAACATTCTTTCTTACCACCCTACACTCGTAATTCTACCCGGTTCCTTGTGGTGGCTATATGCTAGTATGACATGCCAATTATTCCAAATCCAGTGCATAAAACTATTCTATCTTATGCATATTCTCTCTTACAGGCACTGTTAGATAGAGAACGTGCACGAGCTGAGTTCCATGACTGGGAAAAAAGAGAAGAGGAGGTGTGTTCCTTGAATTCCTTTCATTTATTGCTAATTTATTTATTTATTTTATTGTAGTTCTTGCAATCTAATCAAGACAATTTCATATGCAGTTTCATTTTGATCAAAGCAAGGTTAGATCTGAGATTAGATTGCGAGAAGGGCGGGCCAGGCCAATTGATATCCTAACCAAGCATCTCAATGGATCCGATGATATAGATATAGAAATAAATGAACCATACATGGTGTTCAAGGTTAATATTTAGATTTAGAGCAATTCATATCTTTCCTTTAACTGATCTAAGTTATAATATAACATAGTCCTTGAAAACTTATTAAACCTTTTCCTTGGTATGACTAAAGATTTCCTGCTTTAAATGCTAATATGGTTGGACAATTTTCATAATGATCTGAATTATATGTGCAGGGTTTGACAGTAAAGGAAATGGAAGAGCTTCGTGATGACATCAAAATGCATCTGGACCTTGACAGGGCGACAGCCACCCATGTTGAATATTGGGAGGTATCATCTTTTATTGATTGGTTGGTTAATTACATTATAGTCCTTCACATAGTACTAATTACTTAATAACTTCACCTTGTCTATTATACTACCATCTTGTTTTATTCACCTGAGGTTATAATGGATGTGACAATGACTTTGAAGTCTGAATCTTATCTAGTTCTAGCATACAGGATCACATTTATGATTCAACCAGAAATCATAAAAAAAGTAATGCAAAACAACAAAACATCTGAAAGTCAGGGTTATTATAGTATCTACATGTTGTTAGAAAGGATATAATTTCATTCATCATATGTATCTTGGAACATTATATAATTATAGAACAACATAAAACAATAAAATGAATGTTGGAGGCAATATGCTAGATAAAAAATAAGCTTAATATATAATATCTAAATTTGCAAATATTTTTTCAGATTTTGTGTGCAAAATGTTTCTTTGTTAGTAATAGCTTAATATATTTGTCCTAGTGAGTGGTGATATATCTTTAAGGGATTTAGCATACTGATATAATTGCATTACCATAGAGAAAATAATGCTAATTGACATGCGTGTAATGCCTGTTAATCTTTCATAGTTTAGATTGTTACTGATTTGTATATTTATTTATGGTGAGGGGATAACTTTTATCAAGTTGATTATAAATATGTGTACATAATATTTATTAAAATTAAATTTTAATTATTAAATATTAATGTCATATCTGGTTCAACTAGTAATCTACCCACTTGAACTGATTCTATGTAAAACTAGCAACTATTTCTGATATTCTCTGGTTTGGTTTTAAAATACTTTCTGAAAAATCTAACGGAAATTAGTGTAATGTTCTTGCACATGCTTGAATGCAATTGTCAGAGAACTTGCTGTGAATTTAAACTGTTAGGTAATGCATGCAATAGGGATAATGTCCTTGAAGTATTTACTTTTTATTTCTAAATGAGTGTGCGAACAATGTCTTCTATTTCTTAGTGTTAATATAAGAAGTTCAACATGTTTAGCATTGAAGATTTCTTTTCTGTGATAATTGGATATTATAGAATGAAGTTTTTCCACTCTGAAATCTGGTGGGGATTTTAGAGGTGTTAAAGCTTTTCGTTTTATTGGGTTGTACTATTGCTTTTAAAGTGGCAGTGGTTTTTTGAAATGTAAAACATGTTTTAGCTTGTTTATTTGTTCTGTGGAATTCCCTGTTTAAGGTAGACAGCATCGTATCACTAAGACACTTATATTTTGGGTAAAATGGAGGCAGCGGGATTTTTCACTTTTATTTATGTGCTTGCTTGCTATTCTCTTAAAATAAAATCTTAATTAAAAAAATTTATGTTGTTGGTGTATAGCATTTTATTGCATTATTATTTTTATATGTATTAAAACCTGAGAGGTGTCTAACTAGACCCACAAAATTGATATCTCAAGTGGACGTGGGATATACAACACCACTTTGCAAGTGAGGAATGGACATCTTGAGAGTGTGGAGTTGAATATTAAGGGTGGTCCGATAGCAACCTGATAACAGGTAAAGTGATAGGACAACATATTAGCAACCCACCCATGTTGGTCACTTGACCAACCACCCTAAACGTGCCACCACTTATCGATCTATGCAAGGCCTCTTCAGACATATGTACTCTATGCCGCTTCCTGAGGCGAGACCACACCCCATCACCACCATTTGACTTGTTGGCATCTTCTAGTTTCGTTTCTGCACTTGTTCTTTTATTTCTAGGTCCTTGTGTGTTGAGTCAAGTCTCTCCTCATGGCTTAGGGTTTCTCCTCTTTTCTCCTCAGATATGGTTGCCATTTTGCCTTTGAGATGACTTAAGTAGGTTTTATTCCTTCATTTTTTGCTACTCCTACTATTACAAGTTTGAAACTCAAGTTGAAGAACTACTTGTCTTGATCTGCCTCAATGGAGTTATGGTTTCTTGGTCAAAGATATTAAGATCATAAGGAAATTGAAGCCAACTCTATTCCTGTGCAAATAGATCTCGGTGGTAAAAGATGATTTCCAACTATGTGTTGTTTTATGGCAATCAGTTGAGTTTGAGATTCTAGAGATACTCCAATCCTTCAAGTCATGTTCCTTTTGGAAGAAAGCTCAAGATAATTTTGTTGATGATATTCAATATCTCTTTGATGTAACTCAAAAAATAGCTTCTCTCACCCAACCAACCATAATAAAATAAACATTTTATTTGATTGTTTCTTTTGTATGTACCAGATTTTAGGGTTAAGGTTTAAGGTAGGAGCCGTGCCTTTTGTTTGTACTTTCTTATATGTTATATATAAACTCAAATGCGTCGGTGGTAAATTAGAAACTGATTTCTCATTACATTTTATTCAAGTGTATAAATGTAATTTTAGAGGAACGGAATGGAAGGTTCTTCCCGACTCTGTCAAGCATAGGCCTAAATGGGAATTTAAAAGTTAGAGTTGGGTTTCTTTCTGTAACAATGTGGCATGGAGAATATTTAATGACACAATGAGATTGCTTTTTCCTTTTCAAATTTATTTAGGTGTCCTTTTTCCCCCACTTAGTTTATGTATCTTTGTCCACATATGCATGCTGGTATTTACACCTTTTGATGTAGTGTCTTCAATGCGACTATGCATGTCTTCTTATGTTTGTGGTTTATATGTACATATACAATTATTATCCTATGAATTGGATCCCAAATAAATTAGTTGCCTTCTTAATCTTTTCCTCTTCTGTTTCAGTTCACTCATATGGCCAGTGTGGGTGACTTCCTTAACATGTAATGCAATGGATCTTGGCACTAAATTAGTCGGGTCATAATATATATGTTTTAAGTTGAAGTCTTCTTGGTCAATATCTTCATACAGGCACTCCTTCTGGTGTGTGATTGGGAGCTAGCTGAAGCTCGAAAAAAAGATGCAATTGATCGAGCTAGAGTACATGGTGAGGAACCCCCCGCTGAGCTGCTTGCAGAAGAAAGGGGTCTGCATCACAGTGTTGAGCCAGATGTGAAGAGGCTTTTGCAGGGGAAGACACACGCAGAATTAGAAGCTTTACAGGAACATATAGCATCAGAAATGCGTACTGGTACAGCGAAGGTGGTTGAGTACTGGGAGGCAGTGTTAAAACACCTCCACATATACAAGGCCAAGGTAATGTCTCTCACTTTTAAATTACATGCTTAAAGATAAGGAATAAATTCAATGCATACTAATTGCTGTAAATACATACAGGCTTGTTTAAAGGAAATTCATGCTAAGATGCTACGCAAGCACGTGCAACATCTTGAACAACCATTAGAGGATGAAGATAAATTATGGGATGCACAAGTTAGAAACTCAGAGGAAGGTATCGAGCATTACGATAAAGGTATATTAGACTTAGCCTTTTGTCACTGTAAGTTTACACGAATCCTTCACCCAAATTTCATTTTGATATTTGTTTGATCTATATTGGCAGTCCAATCTGCAGATGAATCATTTTCACCCGAACCCATTAAAGGAGAAGATCAAGATGCTGAGGATCAGGCTGGCTCATTTTCACCGGAACTGTTTCATGGTGACGAAAATGAGGAAGCTATTGACCCTGAAGAGGACAGGGCTCTACTGGTAATCTTTAAACATGGTTTTTAACGATGATTTTTCTCATTAGTGTCAAGTGTCTAGACTAACTCTACAATGATGATGGTACATTCATAGGAGCGGAAACGTATGGCGGTAAGGGAAGAGCAGCAAAGACAAATTCAAGAAGCAATTGCATCAAAGCCTGCTCCATCTGAAGATAATTTTGAGATGAAAGCCATGAAAGCTATGGGAGCTATGGAAGACGGGGATGCAGTGTTTGGCTCTGGTGCTGAAGTGAATCTAGATTCACAGGTACCCTGTCTTGGTTATTTGTGTAATTTCGTTCTTTGTGACATGTCATCAAATCCTTGTCGCTTTCAATGATTCTTAGAAATTTATATCTTTGATAGATCGAAAAATATATAGTTCATAATACAAAGTTCTGGATTTTGAAACTACTATATTAAAGGAAGTGGGATTATCAACATTTAAAGTTTCTGATGTCATTGGTTAACGTTGGGCAGGTTTATTGGTGGCACGACAAATACAGGCCCAGGAAGCCAAAGTATTTCAATCGTGTTCACACTGGATACGAATGGAATAAATATAATCAGACTCACTATGATCATGACAATCCACCACCAAAGGTTGTACAGGGGTATAAATTTAACATCTTCTACCCGGATCTAGTAGACAAGACAAAGGCTCCAACTTACACCATCGAGAAGGATGGTAGCAATGGGGAGACTTGCATCATAAGATTTCATGCAGGGCCACCATATGAAGACATTGTAAGTCTACTTCTTCTTGATTTTCTGATACATTTTCAACCAAATACCCATTTCATATGCCTTCCATGACAGGCTTTTCGCATTGTTAACAAAGAATGGGAATATTCTCATAAGAAAGGTTTTAGGTGCACATTTGAACGTGGAATTCTACATGTGTACTTCAATTTCAAACGCTACCGCTACCGCAGATAATTTCAGGCTCTGGCTTACGTTCTACATGGGTTGGTTACCATTTTGGTGTATCCCTGAATGTTAAGGTGCTGGCGCTATAGTTTCGTTTAGATATTTGGAGGATTTGTCCTACCAACATTGAACAACACCCGGTTATTGTACTTTTGATGATACATTTGACTTGGAAGTTAAATGTTGAAAGAATTAGCGGTGGACATAGAACAATGAATCACGGTTTTTAGTTGGAAACAATTGAAGGGGTGCAAGGATACAACAGAAAAAGTGAAGACAAATTCGGTTTTCTTTCTTCTCTGTGTTGTTTCCATTGTTGTAACCACATCACTTTCCTATTCTGAATATGAAACAATCAAATTTTAAAGAACTTATTCAATTTTATATTATTCACTCCAGAAACGGTTGTTCATTGATATCATGTGAAAAAAAGTAAAGGCCGCTGAGTGGATGTGCATCATTTTCTTCTCCTAAAATGTCACTCTGAACATCAAATCATTGCATTAACCTTCAACGATCTTTACAGGAGTCCTGTGGAACCAAAAATCAGTGAAATTAACTACAGGAGTGCTATAATATACAGGAATAAAGGAAAATTCTGACTTCGTTACTTACCCAAACGGACTTTGTTTGATAGAAAGCAGTTCAATGTCCAACTGCAGTCCCACAATAACAAACGGTAAAATTGTACATTAAAAAGAAATCACTTTGAGAGGAGAACAATAGAAGAAAAGATCGCAACAATAGACAGAGAGCCTAAATGATAATCTAGAAAAACTGCAAATCATTACTTATGACCGAATTTTCTATTTTCGTTAGCAGTGTTTCCCCCCTCCCCTTTTGATTATAGAACCTGATATCTAGTGCCGGATGGGGTAGGCTACAGCGGAGGGGAAAGGGGTTTGTTGGGTGAAAGTGGTCTCTTTTTACTCTTCAAACATTTCTTTTGAAGTTTGAAATGAAGCAATTCATTGAATGGCAATGAATTTCCGTTTGACAGCACGCTTAATGGAAATCTTGGTGATATTTTCTATCTAATGAATGGCTAATCCGTATTCAAATCATCACAGAAAGATTGATACAAGAGAAACCTTTAAAAAACACTAATAAAATATCCACCCATAACCCAGCGGATTTGAAAAAACCAAGCCATTAAAATTTTGATTAAACTGTTTTGTTAACAGAAGGTTCTGGCAAATCAAAGAAACCAAAGAGAACTCTAGTCTTGAACTATAATAGGTTAGAAACAGTCTTGGAATTGAAAATGTAGGAGACCAAGGATACCGAGCTAAAATGTTAATTGAAACATCAACTAACTGGAACAAATCTGAACAAAGAGATCAGAATAACTCACCTCTATTGTTGAATTGGGAGGAATTTCTTGAACTCCCTTGCTTCCATAGGCAAGTTCAGGAGGAACAATCAACAGTCGCTGCAAAAGACTAACTAAATCACAGTTTTGATGAAGCACATGATCCTACCTAAAGTATAAACAATTTGCAAGCTTTTCGAGCAAATTATTACACACATGCTGATGACAGCTTCTGAGCTTCAACCTAGTTAGGATAGCAGTCAGTCTAGTGATGCTTTGGTATTCTTATTTTTTATTAAAAAAAGCTTTTGAGCTTAAAAAATTTGGTGAGATCACCCAACTCAAAATTTTTTGTAATCTTAGAGATCTAGCTGTCGGCACAATATATATAGTTTAAATACTTTTATAAAATCTTTGAATTACAATAAAATATACAAAGATACAGCAAAATAAAACAAAATCTGCAGTGAACTATGAAGCTTCCCATCAAATGGATAGAAGGCTTTGCAGTTTGCACACTTAATTTTATTGATTATCAAGATGTTCATTGATATTATTCATAAAACAGAGACTTGTTCCTACCATATGTTCTCACCTGGCCTCCTACTCGCATGCCCTGCACTCCGAAATCCAACCCTTTAAGGACTGTTCCCCTCTCAGATTGGCCAACATCAAATCCATAGGGCTGCAATAACTTAAGCATGCCCTCATCAACCAATAAACAAATTTTCAGAAAAATTGAATCTTAGTAATACATTTGATTATCCAGAATTGTCTGCAAATGTTGTCAATTATCATATATATAACAATGGAAGGATATGGAATCAAAACTCTTATTGTTAGGAATCTAGGTATACACACACTGAATGCAACAAACATGCCCATTGCCTAACAGTGATCAAACCTAATAATATCATAAGTATATTTAAATCTAAATAATGAAAGATGATTCAAGGTTTGGCTTTTCTATCAGATCAACACAGGTTAGTTTACTGGGCAATACAATATACTTAACATAAATTTTGTTGCAAGAGGTGTAAAAGAGGAACTTCCTTGTTCATATATGAAAAATCTGTTCACGTAGAACAATCAACTAGAGGATAAGTAGTTTTGAAACTGTGAATCTCCATAGAAACAATGAAAATGATATGGTTCGTTTTCTAATCCCATTGCATTTGCATTTGATGCTTCTAACAGCTAGACTAATCGACCTTAATAACCAATATACAAAGAGAGGTTAGAAATTTGGCATAATTACTTGGGCCATACCGTTCCTCCTCCAACTCCCATTCCTTGTCTACTAGTCATAAAGGTGATACCCTTCCATTTGGCGACATAGTGAATCTACAATAGAATAGTCTGATTATTTCTGAATTCTTAGTAATAGTTAATCACAAATAAAAACACTTGCAAATAAAATCAGGGCTTGGGAGGGGAGGGGAGAAGAAACTGGCACGATCAGCAAATATGAATGCATATGCCAGCATTTCAGGAGTAAAGAGAGAAAATTGCATATGAATCTTCTGGCAGGAGGAATCAGGGGCAATATCCCCTTTAATTTTGACAATGAAATGAAGAACAAAACTTAAAAACTTAAACGTAGTTCCTTACATATCTTTTATATTATTTTCTACTCCGAATTGGAGTTGAAGTTCTGTCATCTACATAATAAAGGTTTTTTGCTTTAAATATCAACTTTAGTTCCTGAGGTGAAAACCAAACTATTTTTTATGGTAATCCCACACATGTATTTAATGACTTTTATCGACATGCAGAAGCACTAATGAGTGAAACATTTTTAACTGGGTCACAACCGTACTGCAACACGGGATCCCTTTTTAGCCTCAGCTCCACTCCCGACCTTCAAATCATAGTACCTGAAGATATTACAGTTTCATCACACAGTACCCTCCAACAAGCAACACATCTTAAAAATGCAATCAACCAAAATACGGTGCAAATTACGAAAGTTTAAAGTTTACCAATGGAAAACAAAGTTTAAATGCTGCCCATCAAAGAAAAGTGAGAGATTCTGTTTCTCTATGTTAAAGAAAACATTAATTAATATACTAGATGGGGGAATTCTCATTATGATGATATCTATTAGAAGGATTTCAACACACTTTAGTCATCAGAATCTGATACTAAATCAGAAGGTAGAGAGATTTAGAATTAACAAGTTAACACAAACTCACTTCAAACCATTGGGCAAGGTTGTATAATCACTTTCAGGAATTTTTGCTCCTCTTAGCTGCAGAAAACAAAAGAGTGGAAAATTCCAATTAGTTCTCACTTATCAGAACCATCATTTTTCTTTCAAATAAACTAACAAAACAGAATAATGGGGACACATACAGCTCTTCTACTTGTGCTAACAGCTCCAGCAACATCACATGCGTAGATTCCAGCGACTAATAAAAGATAAACACATTTAAGCAAATCACATGGAATGGAACATAGAAAGGGAAGTTAAAAGATAGTTAACAATAACTCACCAGTTGTGAGAATACAACTGAGTAATGCCCTCCTTCCTTCAACACTTAAAGACACTTTAACTGGTTCTGCTGCAGTTTTATTTGTGGAAGAACATGAGCAGTGGCATGGTAACCTATTTGAATTTTTCTTGTTCAGTCTTCTGTGTATTCCTGTGGAGTTAAGGAATTGCCTCAGGGTAGTTTGAATTAAAAGAAGTGAATGAAAAAGCAGAGAGGAGAGAAGTTACTTGTTATGGTCATGGGGCAATTGAGAATCATAGGATGGTGCTGCTGGTGGAACAGAGAGAGTTCCATGGTGTTGGATTCTTGGTTAATACAGTGAGATCAGAATCTTGTTAAGTTTGTTGTTGTTGTTTTTTTTTTTTTCTCTTGGTATAGTTAGCGAAGGAAGAGAGAGAAATCATAGAGTGGATAACGTGATTGCTTCCATCCACAATTTTGAAGCATTGAAAAATCACGTCATTTTACTCGTTTTACAACATAGAATATTGGATTCTTCATATAATTGACTGGTATTGATATGTCCACCAATAAACCTTTCGGAAATCTAAACACATTTTGTTAATTGATTTCACATAATAACAACAACATAAATAAAAAAATATTTCACTAGATAATTTCATTTTGTATCTAATTACTACTTGGTTTTTTTAATATTTAACTAATATAACTATGAGATTATTCCTCAAGTAAGAAGTGGTGATTAAACAAAAATTATCTGAGATTATTCCTGTATTAATTTTTATTACTAGGAGATTTGAATCCATTATTATCCTTCATTTTTAATCCAATTTTCCACCAGCTAATTTTATATTTCCAATGAATATTGATTTACAAATAATAAATTTATTCAACCACATCGAGTAACATGATAATGTGTTTTTGAAATTCATTAAAAATAATATTTGTGTGTCATTAATTTGATACTTGGTACTGAATTCTTCATCCATTATAGAGCATTTAACATTATATAAAAGTGTATATGTTTTGTTTCTGCTTTAGAATTAATTATAGGCTACCATTTAAACTGATAGATAAATATTTTTAGAATACTGGTTCATTATTTAATAAAGTACACATTATTGAAGAAATCTACAAATTATTATGAAATGGCATCACCGTTTAGTTTCCAACAAACGCTGTGTCTCTGCATCTATTATACCAACATCCATGTTTCTTTATTGTCTAGTATAATAGCTATATTGTGATGATCAAATCTTAGATGCAGGTATTGAAGTGTTTTTCAATGCTGTTTTTCTATAGAATTGGATTTTCAGAAGATGAAACTTCAATTCTTATTGAAAAACATCATAAAAAAACTTGAATTTGCTCTGTTATGATCATGACATGGTCTAATTATATTTGATTTTTTGCTGGGGAAAAGCTGGCATGGAATGTTGACTCGTCAAGCACTAGAGCAGAACCTTGAATTTGAAGAAACTTGAGGTTCCTTTGAACCATAGGAAACGGAAGTTTCTTTGATAATTTCAGGCTTCACTCTTACCTTTTCACTTCCTTCAACCCACCTCTTCAGCCTCTTAAGCAACCTTCTCCTTTTTGAAGAAGCATTATCACCATGAGCAGAATCATTGTGATGCTCCAAAAGGGAATGATGCAACTCATGCTCTGAATCATACTGCACAAATCCTAAGCCTCCTTCGAATTCCCCCTCTACATGGTCTCTGTGTTGCTCCTGATGTTCTTCACAGTGCCTCATCAACTCTTGCCTTAAACAAGTATTGACCCTCCTCAGATGAATCAGCTCTTCAACTTCAGTTGACCGTTCCTTCTTGACCTCTTCCAATTCATTGACAACCCTGTTGTAGTCTTCCTTGCTCACATCTCCTGATTCAGTCTCCAAATAATATTTCAATGGCTTTCTATATATCTTTTCCTTGTACAACTTAGATGCTTCTGCTTCTGCTGTTTCAAGCTTCTTCACAACCTCATTCTTCTCACCTTCCAATTGGTCCAATATCCTTTCTAGCTCTCTGATTTCACTCTCTAACTTATTAATGACGCATACCCTTGTTTGCAGGGCCTCATGGTTTCTCGATAGTTCTTCTTCTTTCTCTTTGATCTTCAAAGCCTGCCCCTTTATCAAACGAGATTTGGCCTTTGAATCTCTAAGTAGCCTTTGAACCCTCCTTTGAAGCACCCTATTCTGCGATTTCCAATACTGAAGCTGTTCAATTACACTCATGTATTGGATTACAAAACCCTCCAACTTCATAGTCTCAGTCTCTATGGAAGAAATCTCTTTGCTCAAGAACTCAGCACGATCATTCTCCATCGACAACATGTTTTTGACTTCAACAAGTAGAGATTCTTGTGCCTTCATTTCACAGTACAACTCAAACTGCAAACGCAAGCCCAATTCCCTCATCTGAAGACCTTCAATCTGGCTTCTCAGGCCAGTGATCTCATGTTCCAAACATGAGTTGTTGTCATGGATCACCAAGCTCCCAGAGAGAACACTACTATTCATAGGAGTAGATGATTCTCCATCTTCCACATAACAAAGGTTGTCGTCAAAACTCTCATGATGACAAGTGATTTTTGGAGAATCACACCCATTTTCAGGAGAAGAAAAAAGTTTAGTAGACAAGTTTTTCTTTGCAACGATCCATGCATAGATCAAACCAGCCAAAGATGCAGCCAAGGGAACACCAGCTTTGAGGATAACCGGCTTCAAGTTCTCTGCCTTGAGTGCTGTGAGTCCCATCAAGAAGAAAGAAAATTTGGTTTGAACTGAAAAACTATGCCAACAAAATCTGAATTTGATCCTTGTCAAGTGCCAATGGTTTAAAAAAAGTTGCATAACTTTGTTGTATGTAACTTTTTGACCACTCCAAGAGACCTTGTACGGCACCATCAACCCTTCTTCATGCTCTAAGGAATCCGATTCCTTTCCGTGCCAACCATTTGCACTCACAAATTGATATTTGCCATGTCGGGGCTTCTTTTCTTCCGTGAGTTACGTGTGATGTTACATTATTACCAATTTTATATTCTCCATATCTTCAACCACATCAAGTAATAACTTTTCGAAACTTTTTAGAAACGAGTTGTCATTTGTGAAACACTTAATCATCATCTTTTAATTCTTTATTAACCCTTCTTGTTTTTCTTCCATCTTTCTCTTTTATGATTTTTCTTTTTTCTTTTTTCTCTTGCGGTAAGAAAAACTATTAATATATCAATTTTACTTGCATTTAAAATCATCTTTTAGTTTAATTAAATACAATTATTATTAATTATTCATTAATTTTTAGTATATATATGAGATATTTCTTTTCATAAAACATGTTAATATTTTTTTCTTCTAATTATTATCGGTCCTAGAATCACATTTCATAACAATCTCTTAATATTTTGATTTCTAACAAAATTAAAATTAACTAATCCTTAATTAAATTGACTATATTGTCTCTTAATGTATTAATTCTCATGAAGTTCAACTCAATTTTTTTTTAAATTGACAAATACCCTCCTTAGTATTTATTTAAGATCAAAATATAGATTGGATAAACTAGAACCTCTCTAGGATGGAGAGAGAAAAATACGGAAGAAAAATATCAATATTGTATGTTTAATTATGAAATATATAGCAATTAATAATTATTTTATTAATATAATAATTATTAAAGGTGGGATTCATTTACTTTAACAATTTATCCCACTATTCACTTAGTAACCTCATCTTAATATTTTATAATTTTTTAGGAATTCTTATTTATTTTTGAGTAAGTAATGTATCATTATTATTATTATTATTATTATTATTATTATTATTATTATTATTATTATTATTATTATTATTATTTCATATTCAGTTATCAATCGAATGAAGAAAAAGAAATAAAAATTTTAAAAATATAGTAAGATCTATTATAATTTGTTGTTGTTGATTGATCTAATTTAATATATATAGTGTTTATTAAACTCTTTATTTAATTATACAACCTATCTATTTATATAGTAAATATGTTTTAATGTAAGATTTTTTTTTAATTTATTTTAATTTTATGTTAAAAAATTTATTAATTAGTACTCAAACTTAAAAAATGTAAATTTAAATTTTTTAAAAATATTATTAAATATTAAATTTAAGTATAAAAAATTATAATTATAATTAATTTTTTCAGCTTTGTGGAACTGAAAAATTATCATTAAATATTAAATTTAATTAAAATTATATATTTAATAAATAAGAAGACTAATTAATAAAATTTTAAATTATAAGAATTAAAATTAAATTTTAAAAATAAAAGGAATATGTATATGTATATGTATATGTATATATATTGTAGCCTACACAACACAAATCTATACTTGAAGTGGGTGATTCACATGACATGAGGAAATAGGTTGTTACACAATCAAGAATCTGATATGATTGTAATTATTGTAATTAGCTTAAATTGGGATACCTACTTAATATAGGAGAGATACTTGCCTAATTTCTAGAGATTTAGCTTATTTCTCTCCTAATGTTATGTAACGGTCAGTGTATTCACTTGTATATATTTTGCCTCTCAATCAATGAAATATATGCTCTCGAGGTATACTTTCATGGTATCAGAAGCATCTCTATAATCAACTCTGATTTTTTTTACCTCTGCAGCATGTCTACCTCCAGCAACCTTAATTTGGAGAGCCCTTATTATCTTCACTCTTCTGATAATCCTGGACAAACTCTTGTGAGTGACGTCCTTACAGGTCTCAACAATTACAATCCATGGTCTCTTGCCATGACAATGGCTTTAAAGGGCAAAAACAAATTTTGCTTTGTTGATGGCTCTTTAACGTCCCCTGCATCCACTCATGAAGATTATCACCGTTGGTCTCGTGTCAATAATATGGTCATGTCATGGATCCTCAACTCCATTGATCGCTCTCTGGCCCATACTGTGCTTTATGCAGAATCTGCCGCTGCTGTTTGGACAGATCTCAAGGCACGCTTCTCCTCCAACACTGGCCCTCGCATATATGAGCTTGAGCAAAATATTGCTACTCTTCAACAACAAGATTCTTCAATTGCACACTACTTCAATCAGCTTCGCTCCCTTTGGGATGAGTTATCCCTTATTGATCCTCCACCAACGTGCACTTGCCAAGGTTGTACTTGTGGAGCCAAAGAGACTTATATCTCCCAACAAAACAAACGACGCCTCATGCAGTTTTTGATGGGACTCAATGACAGCTTCAGTCAACCACGAAGCCAGTTACTTCTTACTACATACCTTCCCGATGTTGCTCATGCCTATTCCCTTCTCCTTCAAGATGAGGCTCAAAAGGCCCATACACATCCCCCACTGACTTCAGAACGTGCAGCCCTCCAAACTCAACCTGCACACGCTTTTTTGGCCAAACAACCACCTTCTCGCAGTCGTCCCAAATGTGCGCATTGTGGCATCCTTGGTCATACGGAGCATAAGTGCTATAAGCTTCACGGATATCCGCCAGGGCATCGCTACTACCATAAGGGGAACACTCATGGACAGTCATCTACTTCATCCACTCGTGCTGACCAACGTAATGATGCTGTGAAAGATCCTTTATCTGCAGATTCGTTACAGCAACTTCTTCGCCTATTAAGGGAGGTAAACCAACCTAAGGCCAATCTCACAGGTGCGTCTCTAGCTCTTTATTCTTCCCTCTGTATGCCTACTGAATGGGTTATTGATACTGGCGCAACAGATCACGTTTCTTTCACCCCTTCCTCTTTTCAACAACCACCTATTCCTTCTTCTCTTCATAAATCTATTTGTGTTCCTAATGGTCATTCGGTTCCTATACATGGCTTTGGAAATGTACACATAACATCAGATATCATCTTGACTGATGTCTTATTTGTACCCTCATTCAAATTCAACCTTTTATCTGTGCCAAAACTCACCCAGACTACTAATTGTTCTGTTTCCTTTTATCCTGATCATTGTGTATTTCAGGACCATTTGACGAAGAAGGAGATTGGTCGGGGCCATAAAAAGGGTGGACTCTACTTCCTTGATGTCTCTACCTTTGTTGCCGCCATCATCACTACCTCATCCACCACTTGGCATGCTAGGTTTGGTCATCCATCATCAAGTGCCCTCAAGTGTTTAGCTCCTGTTCTTGGTTTCAATAAAGACTCTTGTGACCATTGTGAAGTCTGTCATTTGTCAAAACAAACAAAACTCCCTTTTCCTTTACACACACCCACTAGCAGTGGTTTGTTTGAATTAATTCATGTTGATATTTGGGGAAAGTATGCCACACCTACAAAAAATGGTCATCATTATTTTTTAACTATTGTTGATGATTTTTCCCGTGTCACATGGACCTATCTCATGAAATACAAGTCGGATGCCTATTCTTTGTTAGTTCATTTCTTAGCTTATGTTCGAAATCAATTTCAGACATGTGTAAAAACAATCCGCTCCGATAATGGCACTGAATTTACAAATAATTCATTTCAGAAAATTCTTTGTGACTCTGGGATTCTCCAACAATTCTCTTGCCCAGGTACCCCACAACAAAATGTTGTCGTCGAGCGTAAGCACCGACATCTTCTCAATGTTGCACGGGCTTTACGTTTCCAAGCCGATCTTCCACTAATTTTTTGGGGTGATTGCATTCTTACTGCCACTTATTTAATAAATCGAACACCATCCAAAATTTTAGCCGGTCAAACTCCTTATGAAAAACTCTATGGCCATCCACCTGATTTCACTCACTTGCGTACATTTGGTTGTTTGTGTTATGCATCCACTTCAGATGATCATCCAAATAAATTTGCACCTAGAGCTAGACGTTGCATCTTTGTGGGGTACCCTGCTGGTCAAAAAGCCTTTAAACTATATGACATTGATCATCATAAATTTCTAGTTAGTCGAGATGTTATCTTTCATGAAACAATATTTCCATTCAAGAATAGTAAGGCTTTGCATGATTTACACATGGAATGACACCCTCTTCCTCTACCCATTTGTGATCAAGAACCCCTAAATTCAACCAACCCCACACCTCCTAGAAACACTTCTCCACTCCCTCCTCCTGCAGAACCCAATGATAATGAACCCACACATACTGTTGAACCCTTGAATCCCTCCCTGCAGGTGACCACCCTTGAACCCACACATGCGGTTGACACTCCTACAGTGACTACCCTTGCACCAAGACACTCCGAACGTCTCAAAAAGCCTCCAGCGCACCTTGCTGATTACGTGTGCAATATGGCCTCCGCTCAATCTTCTTCCTCGTCTCCAGGTATGCAATATCCTATCTCACACTCTCTTTGCTCAAATCCTTACTCAAATAACCATCTCCATTTCATTAATTCTATTATCAAGCACATTGAACCCACCTCATATACTTGTTGCCCGTAAAGATCCCCATTGGAGACAGGCTATGGAGGACGAACTAAAGGCATTAGAGGCTAACAATACCTGGACTTTAGAGTTTTTGCCTCCCGACAAAACAGACTATAGGCCGCAAATGGGTGTATCGTATCAAATATAAATCTGATGGCTCCATTGACCGAGTATAAAGCGCGTTTGGTTGCTAAAGGTTACTCACAACAAGAAGGATTTGATTTTACCGACGTTTTTGCTCCTATTACTAAATTAACTACTGTGAGAACTGTTCTTAGTCTTGCAGCAGCAAAAAATTGGCCAACTCATCAAATGGATGTTTCGAACGCCTTTTTACATGGCAATTTACATGAAGAAGTTTACATGCAACTTCCTCCTGGGTTTCGTAAACAGGGGGAGAGTCGCGTTTGTCGACTCCACAAGTCACTTTATGGCTTAAAACAGGCACCTCGCACTTGGTTCACTACCTTTTCGAGTGCTTTGCTTGAGGCTGACTTTACTCAGTCAAGGGCCGATT